CGCCCAACTCTTGAAGCTCCACTGCCTAGCAGCAGTCGGCAAATTCCCGACGCCCCGGTGGACGCGCGGGCGGCGGCGGGGAATTGAGCGGGGGCGGCTCGACTGAGCGGGGTTGCAGCGGCACAGGGTTGACGATCGCGCGTCCGCTCTGGGTTGGCGCTGGGATGGGATCGCGTCTTGGTCGGCGCGGTCGCTCGCGCCTTGCGAGCTGAATGCCTGCCGGGCGATGCGGCGCGATGTCGATAGCCCACGCGCGCGGCATAATTTCCGCCAGGTCCAGCAGCACCTCAAGCTCGTCAGTGAAGGTGATGGAGCGCTCGCTGCGTTGGCCGACGAGAATCTCGTCGCTGGCCTCGCGGAAGTTGGCCTCGATTTGGGACGCCAGGTAGTGAGCGTCCTTTGCCGGTGCCCTGAGTGCCCGAAGACGATGATCTCGTCGGGGTCGATCAAGTCTGCTGCTCGGCGGGGACGTGGACGCCTCACCCTCCTAGCTTCGAAAGGCGGAGCCCTGTTCGCCACGGCCGTCGCTGCCGCGGCCCTTCCTTCGGCCCCCGCGCCAGCTGGCGCGCGCCACTCCGCGCTGCCGACGCGAGACCGCTGGGCAGTTCCTTTGGAGGATAGCCAGATTTAGCATCCGCGTCTGACTTCGCATTCGTCGGCGTCGGCGGCGGCCGCGGCGGGGAGGGGCGGCAGTCTGCCCGGCAGTTCTGGAGAAAACGCAGCTCGCCCACGCCGACCGCATCCAGCGGAGCGAAGTTCCTGTTGGGATCGCCCTCGTCCACAAGAAATCCTGCTCGCGTTTGCGGGGTCGCGCGAAGTTGCGGCGCTGGAAGACCAGCTTGTCACTGCGCGGGGCCATTGCTTTCGCCCCCCCGTGGTCAGCGTGTCCGCGAAGAAACGTAATAGTCGCGAAGCCCCGCTCGAGTCCATCACGTTAACGAACTCGTTGGCGGCGCAGGGCACTTAGTCCGCAGTGACCAGGGTCTTCCAGTGCGCCTTGGAATGGATGGCCTTGCGTTCTGCGCCCTGGAAGTCCGCTCTCTTGTAGACCTGAACAAAGAGGCTATTGTGGATGTGCTCTAGGTTGGTGAGCTCCGTGCCATTAGGCCCCATCTAGGAAGGGTCGAAGTAGATGGCGCCGGCCTCGGCCATGTCCTTTGCCCGCTCCTGTGGTAGCGCCGCAGTGGGGGCCCTCCCTATTCTCCAGCGTCTCAGTCGCCGTGCCGTCGCGGTTGGTATTTTCCCAGATGGCGCCGCGGTACTGGGGTGGGTGAATCGGTCTGGCGGGCCAGTGACCTACGGGGTCCTCGGTGTCCGCCTCACTTCGGCTCCTGCTGAAGAAGATCCTCATGGCGTCGGTGCAGCTGGTGTCGCGTCGCGTTCCCATCTTCGGCTAGTGGCACCCAGGTAGGCGAGCGTGCGGTGGTAGTTGTACTGGGCTGTCATCCATTATCCTGGGATGTTCGCTGGCACGCATACTGGTCTCAGTTCTAGTACCCCGTGGGTGAACGGATTCCTTGGTGAACACCTCGGAGTCAGGGTTAAACTGTGTTGGGGCTGGTGTTCACGCCGCGGGCGCTGCGATGACGAAGAATGGGCCGAATCTTCTGTCCTCCGGTGGCTTAGATTAAATTCGTATACATTGGCAGTGAGGGACCATCGGTTGGTCATGCTGTTGGACTTCACGTGCCGCGCCGCGGGGGTCCGGAAGGAGCCGGTGAAACCGAAAACCTTGAGCCACACGCCTGCGTCAAGGTGGTTCACGTGAACTCGATGAACTCTTTATCTCGAGGCTGGCGTCGTAGTTGTTGGTCAGGTGTGGTCGCAGCTGCCCCCCAGGTCAGGCGCACGAGAACCCCTGGCTCGGGTACCTAAGCTTGTCGATCGAGATATTGTTCGTCAACAGACATGACCCGAGCTATGGTAGGCCGGACCAGGTAATTCCTCCCCCTCCTGCCGCCCTCTTGGCCTCCTCTTTCTCCTCGTCCTCCTCGTCCTCCCCCACCTAGTCGTCCCCCTCGCCCAGGTTGAACCACAATGATCTCCAACATTCCTCCGAAAGCTCTCCAGACGGCCCCAAAGTGGCTCGAGGCGGCCACGGAGCCTGCGCATTCCAACAGCGTTCGGAGTGCCCTTCAAGGCGCGACTAATCGGGTTCCGAAAGTTGCGACCCTTTTTGCTTTATCGAGTGCAGGCAGAGTTGCCCCAAGAGAGGGCCCCAGAGTCTCTCAACCGCGCCCCAAGAGAGACCCAAGAGGGCCAAACGAAGCCGAAAGAGCCCAAATAGGCCAGGATGGCCATTGTTGGAAAAGATCGTGCTGACCCATCATTGTTCCACCAGTGTTACCCGCCAACCTTCTCAGGAGATCTCCCCCGGGGATCGTTTCTGGAAGGGCTGGTTGCGACACACGAAGCGCCAGGCCGAGTGTGGTCCGCTCGCTAGCTTCCCGCCATTCCTCTCTGTGCCACCGCTCCTCTTCCCTATCCTCTGTAATGCATTGCGGGGCACTGTGTGTACGAGATCTGAACCCGGGAATGTGCTGCACGACTGCAGATTTCGCATGACCCTACATATCACTATCCCCAGCTCAACCTCAGCCGTCCATGGACCATGCTGCAATCCTTCCTTGACCCTGTCAGATAGCCCTGCTGCCTTCGGTTTGCGCATCCTATATCAGCACCCGCGGGAGAAGCATTCGACCGCAGAGTAGCGCAACAGTAGAATCCTTGATACGCGCCCAGACGAAAAAGAAGAAGTACGCCAGAGCGGGGTAGAGCATGACGTACCGGTAGAAGTCCTCCATTTGGCGCAAGGCGGCGGCACGGCGATTCCCCTCTGAGGAGAGCCGAACTGAGAGGGCACGGGAGAGCCTTCAGGAAAAGGGGACCAACGAGACGGGAGAGTCGTCCGGTGGAGGAAGCTCTTTGGAAGGATTCTAGCGCCATTCGAGGGCTCCTCGAAGGCTCCAGGCGGAGAGCAACTGCTGTGAACTTCATGGGGCTCTGGAATTTTTAAAGAGAAACAGCATGTCCCGTGAAACCTCCAGAAGAAATCTAAGCAGGTGAGCGCGAGAACGAGTGCGAGGGGGGACCTCCTACTCCAGCTCGTGCTGCCGCTCCTCCTGCTTTTCTTGCTCCTCCATCCCCCGTCTGGGGAGAATTCCCAGGCTCCCTCCCCTCCTTCCAGTCCTTCCTTCCAGTCCTCCCTCCAGTCCTCATCCCTCCCCTCCTTCCGTCCTCTCCTTCACCTTCCTCATCCAGTCCCTTCCAGTCCTTCCTCATCCAGTCCCTTCCAGTCCTCCTTCCAGTCCTTCCGCCCCCTCCTTCACCCCCTCCCCTCCTTCCAGTCCTTCCTTCCTCACTTCTCCGTCCTCCCTCTTCCGTTCCTCCTCCCTCCCCTGCGGGCGGCAGCCCCAGGGGGAGCCTGATCTCCAACGACTCGACTGGCTCCGAGTCGATGGCCCCCGGACATCTCGACCCCTTTCCCAGGTCTCGGCTAATCGTCCTGCGACGTTTCTCTGACGCCCAGAATCCAGGAAAGACCTCTGGACCAAAAAACCAATCAACTGCTGCGGCGCAGAGTTTTCGAGCCGACTGAGGTCTGGGAGCAATGGGAGGGGCCCATTCGGGCGCAGAGAGCGAAGTGGCCCAAGAATCCCATCATCGAAAGGCTGAACATGGCCAGACACATCATCCTCCCTATCCTGGCCCAGTTTTTCTCTCCTCCGGATCTTCACCATCATCAATCACAACTTTCAGCATCCATCTCCATTATCATCACCAACTCCGCTAGCATCACCATCATCGCCATCACTACCACCACCATGATCACCACGACCACCACCGTTATCATCCTCCTCATCACAACATCCCCACCATCATCATCAGCATCATCAGCATCATCATGGTCATCATCATCAGAATCATCATAAGCATCAGCATCAGCATCATCAGCCTCCGCCTATGTACAGCTCTTCCTCCTCATCATCATGAGTATTCCTGTCCTTCGCGATTGAGCTCACCACCGATACTACATGTCAGATTGCGTGTTGTTGTACAACCCGACACGGCCAAAACTTGACCTCACCACTGTTCGGCGACAGGTCCGGCATCCCTTGACGATCCGCTGTGGCTATCCAATAGCAAGATTGAACAGACTTGGGAATGTTCATAAGGTTGAAAATGCGCCAGTGGATCTCCCCGAATACAATAAAGGGGGGGGGTCCAGAACCCCCCCCACCCCCTCCCCCCCTTTAGGGGGGGGGGGTCACACCCCCCCCCCTCCCTTGACGGGGGGGGTCCGGACCCCCCCCTCCCCCCGCTGGGGCTGGAAAAGGGAGGGGGGGGGGTTCGGACCCCCCCCCTCGTGTAGGGAGTATGGAATTGGGAGAAGGGAGTGGTGAGTAGTGAGTTCTGAGTTAGTGCGTAGTGAGTATTGAGTATTGGGTAGTGAGTAGTGGGTAGTGAGTGCCTCGTGTAGGGAGTATGGAATTGGGAGAAGGGAGTGGTGAGTAGTGAGTTCTGAGTTAGTGCGTAGTGAGTATTGAGTATTGGGTAGTGAGTAGTGGGTAGTGAGTGGCGAGTAGGGAGTAGGGAGTAGGGAGTAAGGAGTGGGGAGTAGTGAGTAGTGAATAGTGAATAGTGTGTAGTGTGTACTGAAAAGTGAGTAGTGAGTGGCGAGTAGCGAGTAGCGAGCAGGGAGTAGCGCGTAGCGAGTAGTGAGTACTGGGTTGGAAGTGGGGAGTAATGAGTAGTGGGTAGTGAAAAGTGGGTACTGAACAATGGGTGGCGAGTAATGATGGGTGAGTAGTGAGTAGTGGATAGTGCGTAGTGCGTAGTGAGTAGTGAGTAGTGAATAGTGAATAGTAAGTAGTGAATAGTGAGTACTGGGTAGTACGTAGTGCGGAGTGGGTAGTGAGTAGTGAATAGTGACTAATAGAGAGTAGTGGGTAGTGGCAGTGGGTAATGATTACAGAGTAGCGTGTAGGGAGTAGCGAGTACTGAGTAGTGAGGAGCGAATAGGGCGTAGTAAGTAGTGAATAGTGGGTAGAGTAGTCAATAGTGAGTAGTGATTAGTGAATAACGAGTAGGGAGTAGTGAGTACTGAGTAATGAGTAGCCAGTAGTGAATAGGGGGTAGGGAGCAGGGAGTAGTGAGCAGCGTGTAATAAGAATGGCGAATAGTGGGGAGTGAGTAGCGATTGGTGAGTAGTGGGTATTGGGTAGTGAGAAATGACTAGTGACTAGGGACTAGTGACTTGTGGCTAGTGACCAGAAACTATGTAGTGACTAGTGAGTTGGGAGTAGTAAGTAGTGAGCAGTGAATAGTGAGTAGCGGGGAATGAGTAGTGCGTATTGAATAGCGAGTATGGGAGTAGCGAGTAGTGAATACTGAGTACTGTGTAGTCAGTAGTGTAGGGAGTAGGGAGTAGCGAGTAGCGAGTAGTAGGTAGTGAGTAGGGATTTGTGGACACTGAATAGTGGGTAATGAGTAATGAGTAGTTGATAGTGGGTAGTGGGTAATGAGCAGTGATTAGTGCATAGTGAGTAGGGAGTAGCAAGTAGTGCTAAATGAGTGGTGGGTATTGAGTAGTGGGGGGGTGGGTAGTGAATAGTGAATAGGGAGGAAGGAGCACTGAGTAGGGAGTAGTGAGTAGCGAGTAGTGGGTGGTGGGTAGTGAATAGTGGACAGTGAGTAGTGAATCGTGAGTAGTGCGTAGGGGGTAGTGAGAAGTGAGTAGTGAATAGCGAGTAGTCAGTAGTGGGTAGTGAGTAATGAGTAGTGAGTACTCTTTGGGGCTGGGGTTTGTGGTTGGGGTTCGGATTAGGGGTTTGGGTTAGGGTGAGGACTAAGGTCGGACATCGATAACGATCGGGCTCTGGAGTCAGAGGGCGGGCGTGGCGAAAATGGAGTGCGGGGGGGGGGGATGCGTGACAGCGTGACAAAAGGGGTGGGGTGAGAGGGGTGGGGGGTCGTGCCCCCCCCCCCTTTTGAATGGGGGGGAGGGGGGGGTCCCCGACGGACGGAATCGGGGAAAATAGGGGGAGGGGGGGGTCCCCCGACGACGGAGTCGGGAAGACGACGGGGGGGTCCGGACCACCCCCCAAAGGTGAGATCCCTTGCCCGTTCAACGCCCGAAATGGGTATGGTCATTACCCTGATTTGGTCCAGGCAGCTCCACCATCCGAGGCCCGCGCAACCCCTTGTCTCCATGTTACATGCATCCTCCGAAGAGAGAGAGAGAGAGAGAGAGACCAGCATGTATGTATTACGGGAACTGCCACTGGGACATCGACATGTGTGTCGACATGTTTGCCCTGCCTCAAACGGCCTCCACAAGGGGAGTTTGTCCATGCTGACCTGCCAACGCAAGCTTAAAACTCAAGAAATGATGATGGAACTCTTGGGAGAGATCCGCAGCACCGCACATTTACTAATTGATTACACTGGGCATCTTCGCCAAACGATACCCTTAACACCGCGCGACCTAAAAAACAAAAACATGCATGCGACCTGTTAACGATTTTATGACTGTCCTACGGTATCCTTGCGCTTGACGTCTGGATCTCGGTGAGCTTCGTCTGTCTGAGCGCTGGGAAGCTCGGGCTGCTGTCCGAGCAAAGTGCTGAGCACCGAAAGCCCGACAACTGAACTGGGAGGCTTCATGATCGAAGCTATTCACGAAGTCGCTTGCATGTCCCAGTCCTCTTTCAACACAATGTCTAAGTCTAACACTATCCCGAATGAGAAATGGATGTACGCCGGCCGTCCGAAGGGGTGTTCCATCCCAGGGAATGGTTCCGCCCCCCGCACATAGCGCCATATAGCACCGGGGACGCTGAACACAATCAACGCCCGGCCATCCACGCCTTAACGGTACAAGTACGCTGTAGCAGCCGTCGTCATCGTCGTCGTCGTCGCCGCCACCGCCGTCATCGTCGTCGTCGTCGTAGTGGTGGTGGTAGTGGCAGTGGTAGTGGTAGTGGTAGTGGTAGTGGTAGTGGTAGTGGTAGTGGTAGTGGTAGTAGTAGTAATAGTAGTAGTAGTAGTAGTAGTAGTAGTAGTAGTAGTAGTAGTCGTAGTATTAGTAGTAGTAGTAGTAGTAGTAGTAGTGCTAGTAGTAGTAGTAGTAGTAGTAGTAGTAGTAGTAGTAGTAGTAGTAGTAGTAGTAGTAGTAGTAGTAGTAGTAGTAGTAGGAGTAAAATCGACAGTATTGAATCCATCTAGGAGAATTAAAGAAAACATTAGTTTCACACCCCACCTTCGTGCCGGTTACACAACACCCCACCTTCGCGCACGATTTATTCACGATTCGGTAATAGTAGTAAGCCCTTGCTGAAGAAATACAGAAAGAGAACAGTTTCACACCCCACCTTCTGGTCGCAGCACTTATGACATGGTTCCAAGAAAATCACACGGGGTTCTTGGGGGAACCTTTCCAATTGTCCACCAAGACAGCGAAAAACTCGGGCTAACGGCCTTTCGGCACCCCGCAAATTCCTCAGGATTCAAAAAAACTCTGGGCTTTCCGATGGGCTAGGCACGGTCATGGGGGACACATGGTTCTCCGATTGGTTCCTGTTGTACGCGTTCTCTTGTTGTTTCCTGCTGTACGGGTTCTCTCGTTGGTTTCTGTTGTATGGGTACCCTTATTGCGCTCTGCTGCATGGATTACGGTAGCGGTTCCTATTGTGTAGGTTGTCTGACTATTGTTTGCCGTCGTATGGATTATCATGTTGGTTCCTGTTGTGCGGATTATGGTATTGCTTATTGTTGTCTGGGTTATATCAATGTTTTC